CGCCGCTTGTTGCTCTGCCAAACTCTGTCACCCGCTTCTATAGCAGCCTGTAATACACATCACCAGATCTTCCAAGCTTCCCCCACTTTTGCACTGCTATACTGTTTGTTGGGCCTCGTGTAGCAGCCTTACGATCCCACTGACACGATTTAAATTATTTAGTGGGCAGTAAAAAGACTTAGATACTCGATTTTAAAAGAAAGCAGCTCATCTCTCCACGTATGAATCAATCTTGGGTCTTCTGTGTGAGACAACGAAGTAGCAACCGCATCACCGCAGACGCTGGTTTTATTATCTGTAGCGTATTTCTCTGTTAAAATAGAAGTGTTCCGTGTAGAGAGAGAAAGAGAGAGAGAGAGAGAGAGAGAGAGAGAGAGAGAGAGAGAGGGATAGAGAGGGGGTGGTGGTGTCCATGGTGGGGGTGGATGGGTATCCGTATGGGGATATCTTCTTATGCTATTCTGCTTTGCTTTTTAGCTTAGTTTTGCAGTTTTCTTTTCTTTCCAATGACATCACAAAAGACATAAAAACATTATTATGAAAGGAAAAGAAAAACAGCTTTGTGTACATAACATCGCATACATATTCAACTTGTTTATTTCCTCAGTAACAGTTTCTTTGACGCCAAACTTTTGCATTTTGCTTTGTTTTACTCTTTGTGCATTTTGTGTTTTCCATTTTCTAGAAGTGCTACCCTGGGTTTGTGCATCGTTCACGGCGACTTCATACAGGGAATGCCTGCCTCACTGTTTGAATGTTTATGGTTTTCTGACAACACTTACGCTTTGGTCACTGCTCCAACAGCCCCCCCCCCACCCCTCGCCCAAGCTCCCGCTCCAGAATGCAATAGTTATGTTATATTGCTCTTTGTAGATGAAACATTCCAATTCATCTGTTTTGTGTTTCATGAGACCTATCCATAAAATGCCCGGGAAAATGAAGTTTGGACGCTACCTCTTCAACTGGGGTCGTCCGGGAGATATGAATAAATACATAAATGTTTGAGCAAAAACCTTGCTCTGTATCCAAGATTTGAAATAATCCCCAGAGGAATTGGTTAAGGCAGGTAGAAAGGAAAATGATGACGTGAGGAACCAAAGGAACACGTGAGATAGTGCTATTAGGAGAACACACACAGAAATTATACAATCATTTTCATAACAGACGTTTTCAGCATTTCTCTTTTGTAATAGGGAAGAGACGTAATTTAGTTTGAAAGGGACGTTCTTGTTTTTAGTTTGAGTAAGCGTTTTACTTCACTTGCAAACGAATAAGTTATACAAATGCCGAATATGAGAGATGTTTCTAAAAGTGACAAACAAGCAAAAAAACAAAGGGGGAGAGATTAGAACCACAGATGTTGATAGCAAAAAAGTAGCAACTTACAGACGAACGCCCGCCAAACACCCAGAACATTCTTTTAAAAGGGCGTCTAAATACTGTAAGGTCTCACCACCAGTTCTCTAAATCAGAATTTGACCTCAACATAATTTGGGATTTCTTCAAAACACATCGTGAGTCCATTTTCCATCAAACCAGTCAGGACAAAACTAGCAGCATGCATCTCCCTGAGCGGAATGGGGAAACACATTAATTTTATTTCCCTACTCAAGAAAAAAAGCCAACATTCGCCTAATTCTCCTTGTCGAACGACATTTTTGTCATCTATTTATCCACGCCAGCCTAACCAGCTGTCAAGCCTTTTCCCTGGAGAGGCTAACTCAAACCCTATAGTTTGCAGCTCTAACGATGGATCGATTATGTCATTATATGGTTTTTAGAATGGAAGGTGGGGGCAAAAATACGTTAAACTGAAAGTTTAAAAAACAGAATGAACAGAATAAAACAACAATAAATGAAACAAATAAACCAAAAAGGACCCCCCCCCAAAAAATACAAGAAAAAATAACATAAATATAAAAAACCCTCTCTGTAAAACATGACGCATGGTTGCGTGTGTCACATAATTATTGTGTGTAGTTTGCTCGTGAGGTCACAGAATGGAGTTGTGTGTCAGGGACAAGGACAGGCCGTCTCTACCAATAAGGTTATAGATCTAAGTTCTATAACCTTCAATAAGAGCATTTGGGACAATAGTAATTTTTTTTAGACCTCTAGTCAAGACTTGCAATTTCACCTCAAATAGAAACCTTTTGGACAACTGTAATGATTTTTAGTTTTAAAAAAAAAGGATTTTTGGAACTTTTGTAATGATTTTAAAATCTTCATTTGGGACAACTGCACTATTATGTCTTTTAAAACTTTTTGTGGAGGCATTTTGGAAAATTGTGATGATGTTTTAGGTGTTATCACAATGTCTTTTTCGTTTGTAGGGGCATTGTGAATACGTATGATGCCTTATATGTGTTGTAAATACATTGTCGACAACTGTTATGACTTTTAATAATTATAAGGGAATTAGGAACAATTAGATTTGAAAGATACAAGGCGAGAGCTGCTTTTCAGCTGATGCAGTGGTGCACCCACAGTTGCCCCAACAAAGGGGATAGAAGAAGAAGAAGAAGTCGCTTTTAAGTGCAAGGGCATTTCTGGACAATCTCAATACCTATAACTTATTGCACGGGCATTTGTTGAGACGTCTACAGTTTATAACATAACACAAGGGGAATTCTGACACTTGCAATGCCTGTACCGTATTGTATGCTCATTTCGGACAACTGTAGTGCCTGGCAGGTGTTGTCAGGGCATAAAGTTACAATACAAGTGTACGTCTATCACATGCTGTAAGTTTGGAGTAGATTATGCTTATTCCCAAAGTTCCCGTTGAGTATGACATTTTAGAAAGTGTATGTATTGGTTTAGACAATTGTACCGGGTTTTTTTGTGTTTCTTATTGACTGTTTGTTTGTTGTTGGGTTTTTTGTTTGTTTGTGTTTGTTGATGTTTTTACTTATTTGTTGGGGGCTTGTGGGGGCGGGGGAGGTTAGGGGGGGGGGGTTGGCATGTTTTTTAAAGCTTTCAATAAAACCATTTGAGACAGTTGTAATGTGTCGGGTGTTTTTTTTACCTTGAAAGGGGTTAGAGGTGGCTGGAGGAGGGAATGGGAAGCTAGAGATATTATAATGTGGATCTACATGGAATGTTGTTCTAGTTCACTTCATAATCGTTTATGTAAATACCTACTTCATCATAAAAAAGTGTGTTTATATCATTGATGTTTAGTTATATTTTCTTACATTGTATTGCCCGATTAAATTCCTAATAATACATAGTATTTTTTCATTATATATAATATAATATTCAAATTGTGAATTATTCATAAATCTTGACGCC